GGCAAATCATCCCATAACAAGTGGGAAGGCGGAATAAACTGGAGTCCAGTTGTTTGGGAAGTTTTGGATAGGGAAGAATGAAGGAGAACTGACAAGAAAGCCATTTCTTTTTTTTTTTTTTCGTTCTTTTTGAGACCGGCCACACCGTGCTCAGCCAGTGAGCGCTGTGAGCGCACCGGTCATCCCTATATAGGATCCGAACCCGTGGCGGGAGCGCTGCTGCGCTCCCAGCGCCACACTCTCCCTAGTGCGCCACGGGCTCGGCCCAGAAAGCCATTTCTTGATGGTACAACCAAAAAGCCATGACCTTCAATATCCTCAGTGTTTCCTCATGGGCCATGCTTACTGATGAGAATTGGGGAGTTTCATCATAAGTGACCATGGTGTATTAGTCAGTTTTCTGTTGCTTATAACAGAATACATGAACCTTGGTAATTTATAAGGGAATAAAATTTATTTCTTGCAGTTTTGAAGGCTTGGAAGTCCAAGGTCCAGGGGGGCACATCTGGTGAGGGCCTTCTCCCTGGTGGGATCTCTATATACAGCCTGTGGTGATGCAGGCAATCACATCAGAAGGGCTGGGTGAGACTGCTTTAATGTACTCACTTGCTCTCTTTATAAAACCATCAGTGCCCCTCTTGTGACAACTCATTCACCCATTAATCCATAAATGGATTAATTCATTCATGAGGGTGTGGTCTTCATGATACAATCACCCCTTAAGAGCCTTCTTTCAACACTGCCACATTGGGGATCAGTCTTCCAAATAAGCTTTGGAGGGTACAAATATTCAACTCATATCACATGGCTACCTGAGCTGGAACCCATCACAATAATTTGGATAGGCCGAAATATCACAGGAAATCTGTGGCTGTATTAATAACGTGCTCACTCTCAACCCATACTATGAATCAGATTCATGCAAGCCAAGGTGAGCATGCAGATGCCTGGGCCACCCCTCAGCCCTGTTTCCTCACATGCTCAGTGAGTGCATGCAGGTATGTACATTGACGAACTGCATAGCCAGTATTAAAGCCCACCCCTCTAGGCTGTTTTCACACCTCCCTCTCTTGCCCATCACTAACTTTATCAATTTTACCTGCTACACCAGCCGTTGTCCACTCTTCCCCATCTTCCCGCCACCAGCCCAGGTTTGACAACTGCCATTACTTGCCTGAACATTGCATGACTTCCTAGACTGTCCACTTTTTGAGGATAGGATTCATGTTCATTTGTCTTGTCACCATCGTTGCAGGAGGCATCTTAGTACACATTAGTGCTCAAAGAAACACGTGGAATGAATGTTGGTTGTTTGGTCTTTCTACATCTGCTTTTGCCCCCCCTCCAATCCATTCTCCACACACAAGTCAGATTATTTAGAAAATTCAAATTTGTGCCATTCCCTTGCTTGAATACATTCTCTTCACTCTTTTGAGAAATTACAAGTCCTCTTGCCTTCGGGGCTCTGACTGTTTTGGGCACTTAACCTTGCTTCTCCAGCTTCATCCCATGACACTCTCCCCATTGCCCCTGTGGGTGTTTCCATGTGATTCCAGAGAATGAGACGCAAACAGGGAAACTTGGGCAGTAATGAGGCGCTTTGTGGATATGTAGCAATCTAGTTGTTCACTTGCTCGTAGGGATGTTCCTTGACTAAGGATGGGGTCAAATCCCAATAAACCCATCGTAATGAAAATATCATTAAGTCGAAGATGCAATTAATACATCTAACCTACTGTGTACATCATAACTTAGCCTAGCCTACCTTAAACATGCTCAGAACACTTACAGTAGCCTACACTTTGGAAAAATTATCTAACACAAAACCTATCTTATACTGAAGTGTTGGATATCTCATGCAATTTATTGAATATTATACTGAAGTTGAAAAACAGTGGTCATATGGGTACTGGAAGTATGGCTTCTACTAAATGTATATCACTTTCCCACCATCATAAAGTCGGGAAACTGTAGGTTGAACCATTGTTAGTTGGGCACTGTCTGTAGTTGGTATGAAGATGAGGACAGAAAGAAAGGTAGTTTCCAACAGGCTATAAGACATATGAACTATTGGCCTGGAAAGGAGCTGGAATGTTGTTTTGTCCCCACGACAGTAACAAATTGTTGTTGGTAGTGGTGAGGGTGGTAGCTGTTCATGTGTGTGTGTGTGCGTGCGTGTGTGTGCATGCGTGTGTGTGCATGTGCGTGTGATTGTAAAACACATCAGGAATCAGAGCTGCTTTCTCCTTCAGTGTAAATGGAAGACTGGGATTAAATACTTAAGCAGAATGGGGGGACAGTGTTGTCAAAGACAAGAAGTAGATGAATACAACCCTAGCAAGAGCTGCACTCAGTTGAAGGCACTTCAACTATTAGGTACAGACGTGAACCCACAGGCTCAACACCCTTTTTATTTACAAACCAGAAGTGTGCCATTCATACATCTGAGGGTTGATCGCAGTGCACCTGGCATTATTTATGGCTGGGAGTTCACTGGCGCTCTGCACTTGTGGCCTCAGGCAGAGAGCTGATGAGCCTGGGAGCTACCTTCCCGGTGTGTCCTGAGTTGTATTCAGGAGCTCTCTGATCAGATGATATGTCCGTGAAAATTTTGTTATAACTTTCCTTTTGTAACATGAGAGCATAGGTGCTCCTGCTTGGTGCAGAAATCAAGTATAGACCAGCAGGCAGTGGCAGAGAAGCAGGCCATGTCCTGACACCTTCTGCTTCTGTGCTTGGCATGAAGGTTGGGGAGGTGTGGCCTTTCCCATCAGTGCTGCTTCGACATCTCCTTGGTCCTGAGCAGCAACCAGAAGCTAGTGGAATTGGACCTTAGCGACAATACCCTGGGAGACTTTGGAATCCAACTTTTGTGTGTGGGACTGAAGCATCTATTCTGCAATCTGAAGAAACTCTGGTGAGTCCGAACTCATTTCCCTTGTGAAGCTCACCTAAGGAGGCATGTTTTGTGAACTCTGACTTCAATGAAGCACAGTGGGCTTGAGGTTTAGTGTGAGAGTGGCCTCAGCAGCTCAGAGGGTCTCCTGCATTTATCTCTGGGTGTTTGTCAGTAATTCAGTCAGTGTTGGTTATGAGGAGAGCCACATACTCAGCCCTGACAAGGAGCATAAATTATAAAAAATGATGCCTGCCTTTAAGGTATTTACAGCCTAGCTGAGAACATAAGCCCGTTGTAATGCATTGCTTTAGAAGAGTTTTGAAACTTCATGACAAGCCCTTGGTCTCCACACTGAATAAGAAAGAGTGTTAGAGCAATGCAGACACTTGATGTTGTATGCAGCCCTTCATTGATTGCTGCTGGGAGACTTGAATTTTGAAGAAAAGAAGAAAGCACTTGTAAAGGGCAGAGCTAATTCATACCCATTAGAATGGCTATTATAACCAAAAACAAACAAGAACACTAGAAAAGGACAACTGTTAGTGAGGATGTGGAGAAACTGTCTGTTGCTGGTGGAATGTAAAGTGGCACAGCCACTCTGGAAAACAGTACAGTGATTCCTCAAAAAATTAAACGTAGGATTACCATTCGAGCTAGGAATTCTACTTCCATGTATATGTGCAAAAGAGTTGAAAGCAGGGGCTCCATCTTACATTCGCACCCTCATGTCCATAGCAGCATTATTAACAATCGCCAAAAGCTGGAAATAACCGCAAATGTCCATCGATGGATGATGGGTTTTTAAAAAAGTGGTATATACATACATACAGACTTAAAAGGAATTCGAACCTTCAGGACATTATGGTGAGTAAGATAAGCCAGACGCAAAAGGGCAAATACTGTATGATTCCACTTACGTGAGGTACCTAAAATAATCAAATTCACAGAGACAGAAAGTAGAATGGTGGTTGCTAGGGGCTAGGGGTAGGGGGAAATGGGGAGTTCTTGTTTAATGGGTACAGAGTTTCGGTTTTACAAGATGAAAAGAGTTCTTTCTGGAGATTGGTTGCACAACAAGGTGAATGGTGCATTGAATGGTGCTCTTAAAAATGGTTAAAACGGTAAATTTTATGTATATCTTACCACAATAAAATGTACAGAGTTGGGATGAGCTTGGAAGGTGCTTACTTGTTATTACATCAAACAGAAAAGGAAATCAAAAGTTTATATGGAGCCTGGATCCACTCACTTCCCATGAGTAGACTGGAATAGGGGCAGTGGCAGGTATGAGTGCCTGCTTAATTCATGGCAGAGAGTGGGTGAGAGATGTGATTGTGACATTCTACCATCTTTATGGAAGGTTGGTCAGTTGCTGCCTTACATCAGCGTGTTGTCAGGATCTTGCATCAGTTCTGAGCACCAACCGTTCCCTGACCAGACTCTACATGGGGGAAAATGCCTTGGGAGACTCAGGAGTTCGAATTTTATGTGAAAAAGCCAAGCATCC